TTAGAGAGGGGAAATAATGTGTTCAAGATCCCCAGCCAGCACATGGACCAGCTGGGTGCGGTCGAACCAACCCAGGTCTGGCTCTGCAGCTTCTTTTCTTTACATTACTCTACACTGACTCTCAGAGGAAAACAAGGAAAGCAGACCCCCTCATATTAGGAGAGCTGCCATGAGAGCAATGATCTACCCTTACCTCCCACCCCCTGCCCCAGGGTGGTGTCAAAAGGCCTAGCCATGCCCACACATGAACCATGGGAGTCCACAGAGACCCAAGAGGGGCTGGCCAAAGTGCAAACAGCTCCCACATCATCTCGAGTCAGGAAAATAAATTATCACATAGGATCAGTTAATCAAAGACAACCTAAAATAGGAAAAGCAGTTTTATAAAATAAACACAGAAAAATTCACTGACCTGGACTAAATTAACTGACCCAGTAAAATAACTTAGAAGTTCACAAACTGAAATCCAGTCTCAAATGGGTATACATTGGTGTGGGGGGAGGAGAGAGGCCTAGCGAGGAGGTCCTGATAAGGCGAGGTGCCCTGTGACTATGCGCCCTCCACCTAAGCACAGCACAGCTGTGACGGTACTGGGGGCCAATGGAGTGTCGAACCTCCATTGGTAGGTGGAAGCCCCATCCCAATGCAAGCAAAGAGGTCATGCACCATTCCCCTTCTATCCTGGGAAGAAAAGAAGATGTCTAGAGCTGGGCATACAGTAAATTCAGTTCTATTCATGGTATCAGGTATGTCCAGACCAATCTAAAAATATTTAGATTCCTTGGGATTTTTCTATGTAGGCAATCATGTCACCTATGAAGACGGTTAGTTCTATTTCTTCCTTTCCCATCTGTATTCTTTTTATTTCTTTTTCCTCTTACTGCACTGGCTAGGACTTTCAGGAGTGGTTCTTGATCTTAGGGGGAGAGCAGTCTTTTACCATTAAGTATGATGTTTGCTGTAGGTTTTTTGTAGATGCCCTATATCAGATTGAAAAAGTCCCCTTCTAAGTTTGCTGAAAACTTTTATCATGAGTAGATGTTGAATTGTATCAAATGCTTTATCAATTGCCATGACCATGTAGTTTTTCTTCTTTAGACAGTTAATAGGGTAGATTACACTGATTGATTTTTGAATGTTGAACCAGCCTTCCATTCCCAGAATAAAGCCTACGTGGGCACCAAGTTTGGGAAGTTTAAGCCATTATTTTTTCAAACATTTCTTCTGTACCGCACTCTTCTCTCCTTCTGGGACTCCAATGACACAGATGGTAAACCTTCCAGTATTGTCCCATAAGTCACTGAGACTTCGTTCAGCCTCTTTAATCTTTTCTCCTCGTTGTTCAGATTGGATAGTTTCTATTGCTTTATTTTCGAGTTTACCGATTCTTTCCTCTGTCATCTCCATTTTGTGATTGAGCCCATGCAGCAGAGTTTTTAAATTTTCCATTATCGTTATCTTTTTTCTTGTATCTCCATTTGGTTTATATATATATATTTGGTTCACGGGGTTATTTTTTTGGCCAACACTTTCTATCTTTCCATTCATGTCAACAATGTTTACCCTTACTTTTGGGGGCATTTTTTTTTTAACAGTTTACTTACTAGATTACCAGTTTGTTATGAAAGGATTCAACTCAGCAACAGCCAGATGGAAGAGGTGGGGAAAGGGGGCCAGGAGCTTTTTTATAAAAGCTACTTTAAAGTCTGTCAGATTATTACAACATCTGTGTCATCTCAGCATTGGCATCTATTTATTTATTTATTTATTGTTGGCTGTGTTGGGTCCTCATTGCTGCACACGGGCTTTCTCTAGTTATGGCGAGCAGGAGTTACTCTTCGTTGCGGTGCGTGGGCTTCTCATTGTGGTGGCTTCTCTCGTTGCAAAGCACAGGCTCTAGGTGCGTGGGTTTCAGTAGCTGTGGCACGTGAGCTCAGTAGTTGTGGCTTGCGGGCTCTAGAGTGCAGGCTCAGTAGTTGTGGTGCACGGGCTTAGCTGTTCTATGGCATGTGGGATCTTCCCGGACCAGGGCTCGAACCCGTGTCCCCTGCACTAGCAGGCGGATTCTTAACCACTGCACCACCAAGGAAGCCGTGGCATCGGCATCCTCTGATCGCCTCTCCCAGGCAAGTTGCGATTTTCCGAGTTCTTCATGTGATAATTAATTTTAGATTGTATCCTCTATATTTTGAATATTATGTCATGAAACTTCAGGTCTTATTTAAATTCAGTGGAGAATGTTGATATTTTTGTTTTACCAGACAATCAGGCAGGTTGGATTTAGTTGGCAAGTTCTGACCAGCCTTCTTTTGAGTTGTGGTTTCAATGCCAGTTCCATTTTCAAAGCCTGTTCAGGTGTGTACCACCAAGTGTCCAGTCTGGGACTCAGGTGGTGGTCTATCCCTTAGTTCAGTTCTCAAAGTCTTTGGTGGGTTGGTTAGAATCAGATGCACACATGCACAGCTCAGGGCTAGCCCAGAAGTTCATACACAACTTTATGGAGTCGTTTTCCTGAGCTCCTTCCTTTCTGCTCTCCTTGTACTTTCCAGTTCATTGGTCCTCCCCTTTTTGGTTCTCTGGCCAGAAATCTGCGGTTTTAGTTACACTTTCTGCCACACATTTCCTGAACTGTACCCAAATCTGGGACCAAGCAGCAGGAAGGCAGAGAGAGAAAAAAGCAACTGGATTTCACCCCACCCCCTTGGGATTACAGAGAGGAAGATTTGATCAAAGAAGGTTTCCCTTCCTCAGTTTTAGGTGCTTGAAGGCCCCACTGCTGCTACTGGGCACTGCCACCACCACCACCGAGGGGACTGCCTGGGGACTAGGGCATGAGAAAACAGAGAAAAACAACCCTCAGGATTTCCCATCCCTGTCTGAGCCTTAGAGCCCCTTTCCCAACCAGACTCTAGCCATAACTAGAGGTCTTCTGGAATTCTCTCCATTTGTGCCCTTATGTCCACTCTGTTTGTGCCCGGATTTTGGGCTGTCTCGAGTCCAGGACATGGGATACCAGAGGAAAAATGAGAAATTCACTGTCAGGGTGGCAGTACTTCTAATTCTAGTTTTTCCCCCAATCTGTCTACTACTATTTATATTTCAGAGTCTTCAAATAGCTGCTAAATGCATTCTGTCCAGGCCTTTAGCTGCATTCAATGACAGTGATAGATTCTTACACATGTATCTTATACATATAACCTGGTATATATATAAGTATCTATTTATGCAGGGAATATACCTAGGGGAGGAAATGCCAGGTCATGGGTATGTATATATTCAAATTTAGCTAGACACTACCATAGTTTTTTTCCAAAGTGGTTGTAATCAACTTACCCACTGACCAGTAGAGACTCAAAGTTTCCACCATATCACTTCCTCACCAACCTTGGAGTATCAAGCTTCTCAGGCTTTCCTATTTTGGTAGATGCGCAGTGGTATCTCACTGAAATGCTAATTTGCATTTCCCTAGGTAGTAATACAATCGAACACCTTTTCATAGGGTTATTGGCCATTTGGATTCTTCTTTTGTGAAGTGCCTGTTGGGGTCTTTTGCCTTTTTCTATACTGGGTTATTTCTTTACTCACATTGATTTTTGTAGTCCTTTATTCTGGAAGCAAGCCCTTTGTTGGCTCTTTGTGTTATAGATGTCTTTTTTCACTCGCCTTTTCACTCTTTTAATGGTACCTTTTGATTAACAGAAGTTCTACTTTAATGTAATAAAGTTGATCAGTTTTTTCCTATGTGAATGGATGCAACTTTGCATCTACTTAAAAACTCTTTCTAAAGGCCCATTCTGTCTTAAAGCAGCCTCTCCCATCTCAGCATTTCAATGCGGACACCTCAGGCATCAAAGTATGAGACAGCAAGATGACAAGGCAGACAGTGCAGGCTCTAGGGGTGGACAGATATGAGTGGCCCTGGACAGGTACTTCAAGTCTTTGAGAATTAAGTTTCTTTATAATTAAAGATGTACTATCCACCTTGCAAGATGTGTGTAAAGCACTTAGCATAGTGCTGGCACACAGTAGGCCCTCAGCAAACAGTGGCAGCTGCGATCATATTCTCTGATCATCCTTCCCCTTGTCCACATTGCTACAGTGGCCTGAACCTCATTGCTGCTTTGTGAAACATCAATCTGTTGCAGTTAAGGACAGCAAAATGGGTTAATTGCCCTCAACAGGCCAGCAAAGTCTCCCTGTTACTCACAGGCGGCACCTAAGGTACGAGGACTACCGTCTTCAGCTAAAAATTAAGACCTGGTACACAGAGATGCTCTCCTCACGAGGTGAAGTCATTCTGGGGCTCCCACAGGGACACAATGGCAGCAAGCTGAAGAATCAAAGTATCTGCTCTTTCTGTTCGCTGCCAACAGCACAGGGGTGTGGGGCAGGCAGACTGCCTCAGACAGGGGAAAGCTGAGCTCCACTGAGCCTGGGTGATTTGTGTGTCCTGCACTGTTGACACAGGGAAGAGCAGGAGTACGTTGGCACACGTGCACAGTACGGTGCCCGTCCTGGAGGAGGTGTGTATTTGAGTATACGGGGTGTGCATGTGGACACGCAACAGGGTGTATGTCCCTAGGAAGCTGTGATACTCTCACCAGCCTGGCATGCTGCTGGAGAGCCCTGATGGTTAGCTACTCCAGCATGCCCAGAGCTTGGGGTCTCTAACGCCCTCTGCCCCACTCTCTGAGACAGGATATGTGCACAGGAAACAGACCCCTTTTCTATGACGCTGGACCACCCTGAATAAGGAAGGAGCATCAACTGCAAACTCCTTGGCGCACAGTTCTAAAGCAACCAGAGAAGCCTTCTGGATGTTGTGGCCCACTGCTGCCTCCTAGACTGTGGGTCCCTAGAAATGCTTCTTGAGATTTTCCCACAATACTGAGATATTCCACTGCCCTCCCCAGATGCCCCTCCCCCACCTCATTAGGCTCCACTTCAAAGGTGGTCAGTGCTGAATGCTGAAAGGATGATAGAAGGGAAGGGAGTGGTACCTGAGCCTAGTGTTTGTCCAGCGGAGTCAAAGGAAAGAACCACTGAATCTGCAACACAAGAGGACAAGTTCATTTCTTTCTCTTTCTTACAGTAAAAACAAAACAAAACAAAACAAAAACAAAAAAACAAGTTCCCACTGGCTTTGCCCAAACCCTCTCCCAAGGAAAAGTCAACTGGACTGGAACTCAGCTGCACAGACAGCCTCCATTGGTCCCTCTCACCCATCCACTGGGCCAGGAGGCCCTGCCGAGCCCAGCCCAAGCCTCGTGCCACTGGGAGGAACATCTCAGGGCATAGATATGCCCCAAATTCTTCAGAGGCATTTCCTGCCAAATTAAGGGACACATTTACGCCTTTTTGCTTCTCATAGTGAAAATAAAATTAAAACAAAGCAAAAGAAAACTTCCCTCCTGCATCTGGTTGAAGGCACTAACATTTCCCTTTGACTTGTTTTCTTTTCCTATTCATATACTCAATGTTTATTATTTCTTCCCCCCAAAGGCATTAAAGTGACTTACAGGAATTTACAGTACACACTGGAATTTTAAAAATGAAGAAGTCAAAGGAAGGAAAAATATTATATAGTCAGGGGAATATTAGTGCACAAAATGCATGCCATGAGGACCTAAACAAATGCTACAGGTAGAATCAAAGAGGCCTGAGCTCCCAAACAGCTAAAGAAAATGAGAAAATAAACAAGATTGAGTGCTCACAATATGTACATTCATTCATTTATTCAACTGTTCAGTAAATATTTATTGGGCATCTACTATGTGAAAGATACTATACTATGGCTTTGCGATCCAGATGCAAACAAAAAAAAGCATGGTCTCTACGCTCATGGATCTGTCATCAGTCTAAGAGAAAAAAAGTTACCCAACAAGTTATTCAACTAAAAACTGATTAAGTAAAAAAGAAAAGAGGGCTTCCCTGGTGGCGCAGTGGTTGAGAGTCCGCCTGCCGATGTAGGGGACACGGGTTCGTGCCCCGGTCCGGGAGGATCCCACATGCCGTGGAGCGGCTGGGCCTGTGAGCCATGGCCGCTGAGCCTGCGCGTCCGGAGCCTGTGCTCCGCAACAGGAGAGGCCGCAACAGTGAGAGGCCCACGTACCGCAAAAAAAAAAAAAAAAAAGAAAAAAAAAGAAAAGAAAAGAAAAGAGTGCTGAGGAAGTCTCTATTAGGAGGAGACCTAGTTTGGAAGGGGAGTGGGTGCTGGTTAGGGAAGTTTTCCCTAAAGAAGTGACACCTGAACTAAGAACTGAAGGATAAGTAAGGGTTAAACCCGACAAGAAGGAATGGGCATTCCAGGCAGAGAGGATGCTCTGTGTGGGGACCTGAAGCAGGATGGGACAGGGCGCCTCAGAGCAACCAGAGAGCAAAGCATACATAAAAGCAAATACTGTATGGTGATTAGAAAGAAATTCCTCTTATGGGTCTTAATAAAGGGAGATCCTGCATGATGTTGAAGACTGTAACTTCTACAACATTTCTATAATAAGTAATTGTGAATCTTTTATGGCTGTTTCTTACAACGGGAGCAATACAAATGATGGCATAGGCCAACACACAGCTCAATAAAAGCAATTATAAGGGACACCAAGATAATCTAAGGCCCAAAATAACCCCAGAGACCCCAGACTCCAAAGGGATCACATTCAAAAGGCTCACTCCTGGGACTTCCCTGGTGGTCCAGTGGTAAAGAATCCGCCTTCCAATGCAGGGGATGTGGGTTCAATCCCTGGTTGGGGAACTAAGATCCCATGTGCCGTGGGGCAACTAAGCCCGCACGCCACAACTACTGAGCCCACATGCTCTGGAGCCCGCGCACCACAGCTAGAGAGAGAAAACTCGCATGCCACAACTAGAGAGAAGCCAGCGCGGTGCAATGAAGAGCCCATGCACTACAACGAAAGATCCCGCGTGCCGCAACGAAGATCCCACGTGCCACATCTAAGACCCGATGCAGCCAAAAATAAATAAGTAAAAATAAATAAAACCCATGCTCTCTTTAAAAAAAAAGGCTCACTCACTACAAAGGAATGCTAGCTGGCTGCATGAGGCCCAGCGTCTACACCACAGGCAGCATCCCACCTCAGCATGATCCTTCAGATCTCAGGTATATGTCATTTTCTCTTATTGCACATGGAAATCTGACACAAGAGTTATCATAACTGTAAGTCATCTGTCTGCACTGCTAGACTATAAGCTCTATAAGGGCAGACACTATATCTGCTTTATTCACTGCTATGTTACCAGCATAACACCTGGCAGGCAATAACTGTTTGCTGAAAGACAGTGCCTCAAGAAATGGATGGACTTCAACTCCTTCAGGTAATCCTTCATAATCACTTTTTCTCATAATCAAGTGTTTATTAAGAACTGGGTAGCAGAGAGCTGCAGGATACAATTTTTTTTTTTTTTTGCGGTACACGGGCCTCTCACTGTTGTGGCCTCTCCCGTTGCGGAGCACAGGCTCCGGATGCGCAGGCTCAGCGGCCATGGCTCACAGGCCCAGCCACTCCACGTCATGTGGGATCTTCCCGGACCAGGGCACGAACCCGTGTCCCCTGCATCGGCAGGTGGACTCTCGACCACTGCGCCACCAGGGAAGCCCTGCAGGATACAATTTTTGGTGAGTATCCAGAGGCAGATATTCTGTACTGCCAGTTAAGGGCAGATCCATATGCTTTGAAATCTACCAAGTAAAAGGTAAGGCTGACTTTTTTTTTTCTTTCACAAAAATGTAGAAGCACAATTAGAACACTTGTCTAATCAGATGGGTGACCATCCTACCTTGTATGAGATACAATCAACATCTCTTACAAATTCTACTTCTTTATCAATGTTTCCCACATCTGTTTCCTCTCAATGTTACTGTGCCCTTTCAGAAGAGAAGCCCCTACTTTTCTCTCTTTTTAAAAGAGCTTTATTGAGGTATAATTTACATACTATAAAATTCACTCATTTTAAGTGTACAATTCAATGATTTTTAGAAAATCTACAGAGTTGTTTGACCATCAGCATATGCAGCTTTAGAACATTTCTATCACCCAGAAGATCCCAGGTGCCCAGTCATGCCCTGTTCCCACCTCCAGCCCCAGGCAACCACTAATTTACTTTCTGTCTCTATAGATTTGCCTTTTGTGGACATCTGCCTATCCTTTTCTTGCTAGGACTGTTCTGATACGTCCCTTAACCACACGCCTACCTCCAGCTTAGCCCACTTCCATCATCCTTCATACTGTTGCATGATTTTTCTAAAAAGTATACCTGACTACGTCTTTGCTCTTGATTAAAATGCTTCAGTGGCTTCCTGTAGCCTGTAAGATAAACTCCAAGCTCTGACCTTCAAGATCTTTACCATTTTGGCTCATTTATGACCTCTAAATGGCTCATGCTCCAGATATGCCAAACAACTTCTATTTCTCCAAAGAGATATGTACCTTTGTGTCTTCAGACACCAAACGTACTGTTTTCTCTGCCTGTTTGCATTAAATACTCCCACTTTTCTATTAAGACCCAGGGCAATCATCCCCACTTCTTGAAGGCTTCTCTGATCAGTTCTGCCCCTTCTCTTTAGGCTGTCACTGCACTGCTATTATGGCATTTATTATACTGCATTATAATCCTTGTTTACTCATCTTTTTCTCTCTTTAAACTGCAAGTTCCCTGAGGATAAGGATTGTCTGTTCATTTTGAGGCTTTGATGCCTAGGACAGTGACTGACACACAGAAGGTGGTCAATATGTTCACTAAACAAAGGAATAAACTAGTAAATGTCTTTGCTTTCTTTCAAAGGTGATGTTATCTGAGTGATATTTCACAAATTGGTGAGGGGAGAGATCCATCCTGCATAACAGATTCTCATTCAAGTCAACCTTGAAATGTCCTTATACCATGAAGCTTCAGATGTTCGAGCCTGGCCTCATCCTCAAAAGATAAAAGCATTCCCACAAAGCAGTGCAGGGGGAATAAGGAAAGGGCCCTAGGTGCTTTCTAGGTGAGAGATCACAGTCACCTGGATGAAGATTAGGAAAGCCTTTCTGAGGGGTTGACTGCCCAGATGAGCAACAATAAAAACAGCATCTCAAACTTTCATTACAGTTGACAAGTATTTTTCCAATTTCAATTTACTTTCTTTGTACTCACAAGCAGTCCTGAAATAATCTCCTTTAAAGTTTTCAATCTAAATGTAAAGAAAAAAGGCTACAAGTTAACTAAATGTGAACAACAGTTGTCTCTGGGTGAAAGAATTATAGATGATATTTATTCTCTGTATTTTTGAAAAATTTCCAGAGTGAACATGTAACTTGTATTTTCAGAAAAAAAAAAAAAAAGTCAAAAAAGAACTCTCTAATCCAGCTCTAAGATTTTAACCTCTAACACATTGGTACCAATGCAAAAGGATGGAAGGTTCTTGATCTCCCTTCATTATTCACTGTACATGCTGAAAAGCTATTCAGCTTTTCCCTTTAGTTATACTGAGGTCATCGTTATACTTCATGACACTTAAATATACCTCAGCAACCTCAATTCCTAAATAGACCGGCTTTTAAAAAATTCGTTTCTTCTTCCTTCCTTCTCACAAGTATTATCAAGTGCCTATTATGTGCCAGGCCTGGTGCCAGATACTAGAGATATGGAGCTGAATAGGAGCTGGTCTTTGCCTTCCAGCCAAGGAAGCAGAGAGGTTAATAAGCACTTAAAATAAAGTGTGATAATGGTGAGCAAGGGGCAAGCACCAAACAGATGACAGTCTTACTGGAAAGGAAAAGTTGGAGTTTTTGTGAGTATTATTTCCAGTGGTAGTGGAATGCTCCCAAGAGCATGTGCCTTTAAACTGCAGAAGATGCAAGTGAGAGGGCAGAAACTTCAGGAGGAAGTTAGGGACATATATCGTGTTTTGTGTAAGTTTGGACGGATGTTCCTTTGAGCATTTAAGGCAGAGATGTGAGAATCAGTTCGGCTCTTCATTTTTTGTGTTTATTCTAAAGGATGTAAGATCATTTGAGTTATAAACCACTTTGACAGCTAAAGGGAAAATTCA